ACCAGAGTTCAAAGGAGTAACCAGAGTAACCAGAGTAACCAGAGTACTAACCAGAGTAACCAGAGTTCAAAGGAGTAACCAGAGTAACCAGAGTAACCAGAGTATCAGGGCTGGAAGAACAGCCTTGGTAAATCGTTTGAAATGACGGTGAGTCCGTGACCTGTCAAGACTGACTCTTGGAGTCTTTGGTCCGTATACCTACGTACTTAGTCCAGTAGTATGCAGAGGACCATGATTATACCTTTTTCCACCAAGCTCAAACTTTGGAGGAAGTATAATTTTCCGCGGACTAGTTGGAATATTGAGCATAAGCTTCATATTAACTGCCATTTCGTCAAAAACGGACATTTTTTATACTTTTTTACTGAAATATAAACTGCTATAATTTGGCCAAAACCAGGTCCATTTTTTTGGCTCCTGTGGGTCCGGCGTTCTTACAACGCTGGAACCCCCCACTGGAACCTCCCCCTGGATGTATCTGGTCGTAGCTCAAGACCAGATACATCCATTGTCGGACCCTCAGGAGCTAAAACTTTGGACCTGTTTTTGGCAAAATTACTCAGTTCCAATTTCGTTCCAAAAATAAAAAATATGTAAAAGTTTTCGTTTTAACCAAATGGCAGTATTAAGTACTATTAACTGTTTTCATGGAGTTCAGTTGGAGCAGACTTGAGCATGTATGTTTGATGTGAAAAAGGGATGTTGGACCCCATTTCCAGCAGGTGCGCCTCCCCACCAATAGACTGGAACAAAAAAAAAAAGAAAAAAAAAAAGAACATGTACGACTACTGTATACAGTGTTACAGTATAGGACTTCACATGTTTGCCAATACTTGAGCATCCTGTGAACTGGATTTAAATTTAGGTAGTCTAAGATTATTTACTATTTATTTAATTTAGCCTCTGAGAAGTCCTCCCATGCTTAGGGTCTCGTTAGACACTCCTAAAAGTGCCTGTTTTTAGGATTGCGTCTTGGGGTCTCGTTAGACACTCCTAAAAGTTCCTGTTTTTCGGATTGCATCTTGGTTGCACGGAATCCTAAATCGAACGCGGGAATCGAAAATGTGAAAACGGCGTTAGGAGTCGTCCTAAAAGATTTAGGATTCCCCGGCCAAATCGTCCTAAATTTTCCAGTAGCCCCGGACCTACTGAAAAATTTAGGATTCCCGCGTTTCACGGAATCGTCGAGTCGCGAGAATGGCACCGTCGACACGAAGGTGGTGGTTCAGGAGAGGTCCGTCGGGTCGGTGGGCGGACATCGGAGGTCTTCTGGCGGTCGACGATGGCAACGGCCCCCACCGGTAGCCGTTGGCCGGTGGGGTGGAGCGTGGTGGGCGAAGCGTGGCCTGACTCGCGGCCGTTGAGGACCATTGGCTCGGGTGCGGGAAACGGAGGAGTCCCCAGACGTGCGCACGGCGACACACGGACGCCATTGTGGACGCCAACGGTCACTTTTTTAATCGCAGGCGGCATCGTTTGTCGTCTTCGCTGGCGGTTGACGGCATATGAAGGCCCAGCGTCCTTGTCCGCGGGCTTGTGAGGAGAAAGTTCAGCACGGCGTCATGTGCAAGGTCGCCTGTCGACGTCGAATTCATGGCAGACATGCAGAGGAGATTGCCTCTGCTGCTTCTCGTTGTCGTCGTCTTCCTGTTTGTCGTCTTCCTCCACGTGTGCTTGTCGTGCCGGCCGTGGAAGCAACGTTGCAAGCGCAGGGCGTCAACGAAAGGCGGTGTGCAGGTATGCGCTGTTCCGCCCATGGCGGCCATGCAGGTACGCGCTGTTCCGCCCATGGCGGGCATGCAGGTACGCGTTGTTTCGCTTGCGGCTGAGGGCGGAAGAAGACCTCCGACGACGGAGCCTTCAAGGCGGTACAACCCCTCCATGTATAGCCATCTGCCGTCGTGGGAGACGCCGCTGCCTCCCTCGGATGAGGAGCCTGAGGGGGATGAACTTCCAACGTTTCCTCTCACCAACGGGTCGACGTAGCTGTTGTCGCAGACGGTGCTCGTAGGTGGGTCCGCAAGCAACGGATGTGGCGAGTACACGACACTCCTGCAGCAGGGATTGGGAGCTGACGACAACGGGGGAGTTGATCTCCGGTTCGGGTTGTCTTCTGGCGGCGGTAGGGAGGCGAGCCGCACGTTCATCATCGACGCCGATCCTTCACCGCGTGGCGTTCAACAATCTGGAAGTCGGCATATAGAGCAGTCCACACTTCGTAGCGGTGCATCCGTTTGTGTCGGTGTCAGGCCATCGTCAGCAGGCCGGCAGCATGGATCGAGTGCACCGTCCGTTGATCAATTGACAAGCACCTGCCTCGAACGCAACGGAGTCGCAGTAGGGTCCCTGCGCATCGGCGGTACACTTCATTCGATGCCCAGAAGCACAACGCCGACCCAACCCGACCTCAGGGATGACGGCACGTGCAGAGCAGCGGTGCGTCCAACACCTAGTGTGGAGAACATCACACGAGGAGTGTCGAACATGCGGGTACACAACGATGGTGGCGACGACGATGGTGGTGGCGGTGACGATGCAGACGGGCGATTCGGGGAAGACGTGGAGGCAGGGGACGACGATGACGACATTCCTATTCGGCCTTTGGGGAAGACGGGCGGGAGGGGGAGAGGATGCAGCAGGGCTGTTGTTCGTGGTCGATCCGTTGGTCATGGGGGCAGAGGTGGCGTCAGCGATGACGGCGGGAAGTCTGTGACGTACTGGTCCCCGGAAGAGCAAATCCAGCTGGTGAGATGCAAGCGGGAGCAAGAGATGCACCTCGCCGGTCTCGGTCACAATTACGGGCAGATGCGGACCAAGGAGTGGAAGTGGGAAGATATTGCCAAGCGCATGGCGAACGCAGGGAGGCCGAAAGACGTGGACGACTGCATGAAGAAGTGGGACAATATCTTCCAAAACAACAAGACGATACATAGGTTTCAGAATGCGAGTGGCCGACCATTTCTTCCGGCTATCGAATGAAGAAAGGAAGGAGCACAACTTCAAGTTCCGAATGGAGAGGGCGCTATACAACAAGATCCACATAGGCATGGTTGGCAACCACACAATTTTCCCTCCCAACATCGCCGACACTGGAAGTCCGGACGGGGTGCATCTGCCCAGGCGAGGAGCGGGTGCTGAGGAGTCTGTTGGTAGTGAGGGCGCTGGTGAAGGCCTCCCTGAAGAACGTTCTACTACGAGGACCACACACACACACACACACACACTCCAAACCCCCGCCTCCACAATCCGGAAACCTCAAACCCCATTCCACATACGGCTGTCTGGTTGACGAGCCATGAAAACGCAGATGATGCACTGCCGTCCAAAATGATGACGAAAAAATACATAAATAAACGCAACTACCCATACAACTGTGTGGAGGACACCCGCACACACTGACACTCACTATCACACACACACCATGCACCCTACGTCGCCGACCGACCACGGATGGCGGCAGCGATCTCCATAAGCGCGTGGCACATCATCCTCTGTGTCTCATCGGATGCTGCGTAATGCGCTTTCTGGACTGCAACTTCCTGCTCTAGTATGTCGCATTGCCTCGTGAATATGCTACATTGCCGCTTGCTAGATGATTCGATCGTCGACGACATCAGTTCGCCATGGAGGTCCATGACATCAGCAATCGACTCCAATGCCTGTTGACGCGCATTCTTCCGCTTACCGCCTCCAGGCCCGCTGGCAGCGTTGTTGTCGGGGTGGGGGGGGGGGGGGGGGGGGAGGGCTTGGGGTGCGGGGGTGTTTGGTGGCTGCGACGGGGGGGACGCGATGGGGCGGGCAGGGGTTCGGTCCCTGGCGACTTAATTGACGCCCGCCGCCAGGGACGTCGAAGGGTCTTTTCGCGCCTTCGGGGGGGATGGAAAACACACGGCAGTGCGGGCAGGGCGGTCGCACGTGCCACTGTGGACGATGTCATTTCCCGCCAGAAAGAAGCGACGTCGCGGGAGGTCCATCTCCGAAAGACTACTTCAGTCTTGTTCATCCCAACCCGTCTGTACGTCGTCCACGCCTCGAAGGTGTCTCCAGTACAGAAGCCCGTCGCGCCTGCTGCAAACCGCCCGCAACAACGACAAGGTGCTGCAAGCCTGGTCGCCGCGGATCATTGTGATCGTCGCTCTTGTATTCTTCTCGCCGCTCGTCTTCTCAATGCGGATTACTCTCTCTGTGGTCTTCGTCCTTCTGTGAACCACGCGCACGTCGTCGTCTTCTTCCCGCGGAGGACTGATCTCCTGCGTCGCGGGGGTGTTCGTCATCATCACGTGTTCTTCCTGCAGTTGACAGATCTCCTGTGTGCCACGTGCATGTCGTCGTCTTCGTCCCGCGGAGGAGAGATCTACTGCGTCGCATGGATGTCCGTCGTCGTCACGTCTTCTTCCCCCAGAGAATAGATCATCTGTCTGCCACGTGCACGTCGTTGTCGTCACGCCACAGCCGCACGGGAGACCTTTTTCACGGGAGACATATTTTTCGCCAGGTCGGCCACACTTCCCGCTCGTCCGATCACACTGCCAAGCTCGCCTGCAAAGGTCGCCACGAAACATGTCTACGAGAGGGAACACCCGTGGGAAGAAGCGNCAGGGGTTCGGTCCCTGGCGACTGAATTGACGCGCGTCGCCAGGGACGTCGAAGGGTCTTTTTGCGCCTTCGGGGGGGGGGGGGGGAAAACACACGGCAGTGTGGGCAGGGCGGTCTCACGTGCCACCGTCGACGATGTCATTTCCCGCCAGAAAGAAGCGACGTCGCGGGAGGTCCATCTCCGAAAGACTACTTAAGTCCTGCGCATCCCAACCCGTCTGTATGTCGTCCACGCCGCGAAGGTGTCTCCAGTACAGCAGCCCGCCACGCCTGCTGCAAACCGTCCGCAACAACGACGAGGTGCTGCAAGCCTGGTCGCCGCGGATCATTGTGATCGTCGCTCTTGTATTCTTCTCGCCGCTAGTCTTCTCAACACGGATTACTCTCGTCGTGGCCTTTGTCCTTCCGTGAACCACGCGCACGTTGTCGTCTTCTTCCCGCAGAGGACTGATCTCCTGCGTCGCGGGGGTATTCGTCATCGTCACTTCTTCTTCCTGCGGAGGACAGATCTCCTGTGTGTCACGTGCACATCGTCGTCTTCGTCCCGCTGAGGAGAGATCTATTGCATCGCGTGGATGTCCGTCGTCGTCACGTCTTCTTCCCGCAGAGGACAGATCATCTGTTTGCCACGTGCACGTCGTTATCGTCATGCCAAAGCCTCACGGGAGACCTTTTTCACGGGAGACGTATTTTTCACCAAGTCGGCCACACTTCCCGCTCTTCCGTTCACACTGCCAAGCTCGCCTGCAAGGCTGCAAAGGTCGCCACGAAACATGTCTACGCGAGGGAACACCCGTGGGAAGTAGCGCGACGTGGTCGTCGACGATAGCCAAGGGCAGGGAAGAGGGCGGCGGCAGGCCCTGAAAGCGAAGAGGGTGCGTACGGAAGATGCGTTGCCAAGGGTGCGTGGTCATGGAGCGCAAGGTTGGGCGGAAGAAGCGGAAGGGGACTGTGACGATGAGTTCACGGCGGAGGAGGAGCAGGCGGAGGCGACAACGTCTGAAGTACGCGAGAGCGATCGGCAGCGCTCTTCTGATCGCACCGCTTCGAAGAGGATGCAGACCCCTCCACACGAGGCGCAGCAACTGCGTGGCCGTGAAACGCGGACAGAGAAGGCTCCCGTCGTCGATCTTGGCGGCGATGATGACGAGCCCTTGGAGAGATGCCGCATTCGCATTCGTACGACGGCGACCCCACTGCCGGAGGTGGTCGTGCGGGTTGCTACAAACGAAAGTCCAATCTCGGGCAGGCTGCCCGCCACGCCGTCTCAACCACGTCAGCGCAATGACGCTGGTGACGGAGGGTCCGTCCAACGTGGTGGCGGGGGGGAAGTCGTGGCAGACGAGCGCAGTTGGCGCCCAGGTGGCAGGTGCCGTGGGGGCAGTTGGTTCAGGCAATGTGGGCGCCGTAGCGACTGGGAGGGAGGATGCAACAGTTGTGGCGACGGCGAGAGAGGAGGCGCGTGGCGAGAGGAAAGTCGAGCGGGAGGCAGGCGACGCCGGTTCAAGCCGGCCACGAAGGAGTATCATGATGAAAGACCTCATTGATCGTGCCGTCCTTTGGGTCAATGACAAAGCTTTCTGGACGACGGGGGAGGGGCGAAGACTATATAATATCGTCCACGAAACGAAAGACTACTTCGTCGCCATCGCCAGCGCACTTCCAGCGCCTGACGTCCCTCGGAACGTCGTTCTGCCCAAAGCCAGCACGCGTGTGGCTTGGATCGTCGACCAATCGTTGCTGCAGCAAGCGATCTTCCGTGCGGGCAGCAGTGGAGAACGTTGCTCTGCGCATCTTGCACGGATGGGTATTCAAGTCCGGAAATCGGCCAAGGGGATACCATGTGGCTTTCCAGTACTCGTTGGAATCCTTTGCGACGGACATTGCGAGTGTCATGTGGTACGGCGAGGAGTGGTGCGAGGTTGTCAGTCCGGCGATTTGCTCGCACACGATAGATCTATCCATGGACCTACCGCTTTGGTTCGCCGGCGCCAACATCGAGGACAGACCAGAGGACGACGACATGGCGGTGCACCAGGAATCCACCATCATCCGCGTCGCGTATGCATTTCGCGCGGCCGTGCAAATGGGGTTGCTCATCGACGGCGAGTTCATCTCTCACGATCGTCTTTCTCGGGTGGCTGATTGCTTCAGGCTATTCTTGGCGGCGTGCATGTGGATAATGCGCATGGCGGGAGACGATCCGCGCAGCCACTACGAGGCTTTCGACTTCGCGGACCTCGTGGTGAAGCACGCACTTGTCGAGGCCATGCATCGCTCCTTCGATCATCGACGATCCGTCGTCCGTGCTGCGAAAGTTGTCACAGAGAGGCTAGGAAAGGCGACCGCTACATTCAGACAGTACCCCAACTACATACCTCAATGGGCGCCCTGCGGCATTGCTTTCAGGCACGACACGAGCATAACGGGGCTGGAGGATGCAAGGAAGCTAGATTGGTTGGGTTCGGGCCCCCCTGATGATGACAACAACAACGACAGGAAAGATGACGCGTAGGGGGGGAAGGTTGGGGCTGATGGTTGGCTGGGGAGGAAGACGGATGGGATGGGAGCGGAGGTTTGGCTGCTTCTGTGGACTCGCGCGCATGTAGTAGTGGATGGTCATCATGCGGGAGGATGGGGTTGCACCGACGCAAAGTGCGCACCTGTTTAGTGTGTCGGAGAGAGGGATTCCACAAGATCGTCGTCGATTGCGCACTTGTTTTGCGCGTCGCCTCTGCCACGAACTCGCGTTGTTAGGTTTGAATGGTTTGTGGTGCGTTTAGTGCAGGTGTGCAGTGTGTCGGTCGTTGGAGTCGACGACGAGATCATTCAATGTCGTCGTGTATTGTGCACTTATATTCGCAGTTCGCTGCGTGAGAAGTTCATAGCGCTTTCAGCGTACTCATTTTTTATGTGATGTGTCCGTTGTTCTCGTGTCTTCTGTCAAGTTCTGTGGAATGATTGCAAGATGATTGCAGATGAGCGACTCCTATGCATGCACAAAATCCATGTTCATCTATGTCTGTTTTTTGTGTTACGCAGTTTACTAATGTTAAGCAGCTTGCATCAACAATTGCAAAACACGTCTGTCTGTCGTCCCGGCAGAGAAGCGAACGAAAACATGCGCGACTGAAGATTTCAAGAGGCACACAAAAACAAATGAAAATGGAGTTGAGGATGCAGAAGAAAAAAAAGAAGAAAACTTCTCACCAAACCGAAACATTCGAGACAAGCGATTTGAAGACACTGACACCGAAAAAAAAAAAGTATAAAAAATCAAATAAAACAAAAAAATGTAAAAAAAAAAGAAAAACAAAACCGAGAGAGATACACAAAAAAAAGGTTCTTCCAATATGAAATGTTCATACAGCTGTACGAACCACGCAACCGTCCAAACGACGAAAACAAGAAAGGAAGTCACAGACGACAACCATGCCGCCACACAATCGACCCAGCTACTTCGCGCAGTGTTGCCAATGGACGCGGCCACGTGCCAATTCCACCCTCCTGCAGATCGCACCAACCCACATACTATCAACCCCTACCCAAACCCCCTTCCGCCCCCTCCCCCCCCCCCCCCCCCCCCCCCCCCCCTCCCCCCTCCACCTCCCGTGCGCACGGTCCTACATGAGAGCTAGGCGGTCTCGAACTGCATCCCACAACAAGTCCCTATCCACATTCGTGCTCTGTCGCTGCCTGCCCGCGCCGTTCCCCACAATCCCCAAGTCTACTCTACGACGAATGCCGTTCTCATCCACCTCCCACAAAAGGTTCTCATCGAAGTCGATCCCCGCGTCGAGGAGGATGTTGTGGAGAGTGCACACTGCCATGAATTTTTGTGGCAAGGTCTCCAGGTTCGTCTTGTGGGTGCGCAAAAACAGACGCCACATGCACTTCAGTCGCCCAAATGCCCTCTCCACACACCCCCGCGCCACCTTCTGCCACGTGTCGAAGCGCTCCTCGTCAGGATGTTGGTCGATTCCTCCGTACGGCTGCACGATCCATGGACAGGCAATTGGATAACCGTTGTCGCCTAGCAGGTAGCCTCGTGTGACGACACCGTGCGGCAGATTCTCCGGAGTTGCGTCGAACAGCTCGCCAACTCCTGCAAGCCTCCACAACTGGGAATTGTGCAGGATGCGGACATCGTGCACGCTTCCCGGGTATCCAATGTGGACGTGGAGGATCCGCAGATCCAAATCCACCACCACATGCGCCTGCACGGAGAACTTCTGTTTGCGGTCGTAATAGTTGTCGAAAGGTGAGCCGACGGGCTTGTCAATGTAGATGTGTGTACAGTCGATCGCACCGAAGCAGTTCGGGAAACCCTTGTCACGGAATGCGTGCAGAATTTGCGCACGTCTACGGCCAACTGGCCTCTTGATAGCGTCGGGGTACGCCTGCAGCAGCGTCGAAGTGACGTCGCGGACGGCCTGCAGTCCAGTTGCCCTGCTGATGCCGAAGACCGAAGTGCCACTCTCGTACGTCTCTCCTGACGCCCACCTGTACAACGCGAAAGTGATCACCTGCTCCACTGGCAAAGGCATCCTGTAGTGCGTCACCTTCTTCTCCACGTACGAGGCGCACGCGGCAACGATCTGCCTGAACATGGCCAACGACATGCGCAACTTCTGCCGGTAATACTCGCCCGTCGCGTCATCACAGAGGCGGAGATCCTCCCATGTCCCGCCAGTCCGTCGTTTAGTCTACCAACGCGGGGTCCGCCGCAGGAAAACGCCAGATGACAGCGCAGCGCACAACTGGACGAGTGCCTCACACGTGGCCACGCAATCCGGCGCTTTGGCAATGCGCTGCAACAACGCTCTTCGTTTTCGGAGTTGTGTCAGCATGTCGCTTGAGGACGACGACATGCTGCCCATCGCGTTCACGACGATGGCAGTAACCGCCATCGCGACCGCGTCGATCTCCTCTTCGCGCAGACCGTGCCCGCTGACGTGAAGATCCATCTCTGGGAATCTTCTTGCTCGAAGAGCGTGACGCCTGCCACAACCGCCGAAGACACGCCCACTGCTGAACCAAGTGAAGAGAGACACGCAGCCGGACCCGTAGATGCGCCCGCTGACGTACGCTGCAACAGAAGATGGAGTGTGCCGGAGTCCACAGGACAGCACACATGGCGGAGGTGAAGATGTGCCTTGCCGGAAGTTGCCCCCGCTGCTCACAACTCGCGTGGAGTCGGAAGATGGAGTCCCGCGCCGAACGCTTCACGAGCGCTATCTTTTGTACGTCAGACGCGTCGCCCGACCGTCCTTCGCCCCTGCCGCTTTGCGTCCGCGAAAATTCGAATTTGAATTTTTGAAGTTCGAGGTGACCGCGCTTTTCACCCACCCCTCCTCGCCCGCCCAGGGCCTCCGCAGTGTGTACCACGGACACCAGCCAGGACCCGGCGGACATCGGCGACGCGGCTGCGTATACAAATATGAGAACGGGCCGCGGGAGACCTTTTAGGACGAATCCTAAAAGACGATTCTTAGGACTGCATGTAACGACGCCACACGAAATCCTAAAAATCCTTTAGGACTCGTCCTAAAAATTTTAGGATTCTTTTAGGAGTGTCTAACGAGACCCTTGGTTGCACGCAATCCTAAATCCACGTTTTAGATCGAAAATGTGAAAACAGTGTTAGGAGGAGTCCTAAAGGATTTAGGATTCAGCAGGCAAAATCGTCCTAAATTTTCCAGTAGCCCCTGACCTACTGAAAAAATTCGGATTTCCGTGTTTCACGGACTCGTTGCGTCGCGCGCATGGCACCATCGACACGGAGTTGCTGGTGCAGAAGCAGTCCGTTGGGTCAGTGGTCAGACATCGGCCATGAACGGTAGCCGTTGGCGGGGATTGGACGGACGTTGGCAGGAATGGATGGACATTGGCGACGCGGCTGCGTATACGCATATGAAAACCAGCCGCGGGAGACCTCTTAGGACAAATCCTAAAAAATGTTTTTTAGGATTCCGTGTAACGACGCCGCACGAAATCCTAAAAATCCTTTAGGACTCGTCCTAAAAATTTTAGGATTCTTTTAGGATTGTCTAACGAGACCCTTAAAGATGGCCGCTCAGTTCGACTTCGAGTTGCGAAGAAGTACTCCCAGTCTCAAATGGCGCTCCCCCCTTTCTGTGTTTTTTGCAATGATTATCACGTTCAATTCCAGGGTTTCCCAAATAATGTTTAAACCATTAAAAAAAAAAAAAAAAAGTTCGAAGCAAAATAAGAAAAAAAAGACAAAAACTTGGGTAGTTGCCTCTCATCTAGTAGTGGGTGCTTGCGAGGTGCTGCTGACGTAGGGCCTCGCTGCACTACTACAGACTCTCGAAATATTTCGAGAGTTCGACTAGCATTGGCAGAGAGGCCAGACTCTCGAGAGTTCGACTAGCATTGTCAGAGACGCCAGACTCTCGAAATACACGCCTTCGCTTACTCTAGAACCTGTGACGCTAGATGAATTCCCGAAACCCTGGGAGTCGTCCTACTCCACTGAAGGGCTGCACCACTGCACTACGGGACAAAGTCTGGCCATCGGGACAGGAGGTCCACTCTCGAAAAACGAGCCCGACGGCGGGCAACTCCCGAGGACACTTGCAAATTCAGTTTTTGTCCACTCTCAAAAACCGAGCCCGTCTGCGGGCAACTCCCGAGGACACTTGCAAATTCAGTTTTTGCAGGCGGGGGACTCTGGACGTTTCAAGAGTTGCGTTATAGCGTGGCTTCTGGCAGCTCTCGATCGGGTTTCGAGAGTTTCCCGATCGAGAATAAGTGCAGCAGAATAAGTGCAGTGATGACCCAGTGCCTCGCCACACCACTCATGAATCTCGAAAATTCGTGAGTCGGCACCGCCACACAGCATCGCTCGAAAAAAAAAACTCGGAACTATTCGAGAGCTGCCAGAAAGGAGTGCCTTCTCGAAACGATGTTTTCGCCCAGCCTGCAGCGTTGGAGTTTTCGCCCGTGCGCGCTCTAGTTCTATGTCCATTTTGAGAGTTGTCAGGCCGTTTTCTCGGGCAGCGGATAGCGTCCACATTTGAGATGAATTTTCGAGAGGCCGGTCTAGTGTGCTATGTGGCGAAGGGCCATTTTCTCTTGAAAACCGGCCTCTCGAAAAATCCTGACAGCCCTCGAATATTTTTGAGATTCGAGAGTGGTGTGGCGAGGCCCCCACTCTCGAAAATTCGAGAGTCTACAATAGTGCAGCGAGGCCCTTAGCCTGACTACCTATAGTAGTGGCGTCAGCACCTACCTCTACCCTCTTCACACAAATAGAATGCGCTGTCCTCCTGGCTGTATTTAGACTGAAACTTGAGCCAAATACAGGTAGAATGAGCATGCGTGAGGGGAGACGGAAAAGGGATAGGAACGGCGGATCTGGATTGTGACAGATGGTTTTGATTGGATTTTTATCATTTTTTTGACTGGATTGCTTTAAATTGTATTTTTTTGGGGGGGGGCGATTCGATTTGCTTTTTCTTTTTTTTCTTTTTTTTTTGAAAAGCTAATTCTTGTAAGCCCAACCAGGCCTTTCAGGCCTTTTTCGTATTGTCATTATTTATAGTATTATTACGGGGAACCCTGTAGCAGACGCATCAGTGCTCAAGCGTCCAACGATGGAACATGGGGGAGCTGCACCTGTCCACCAACACGTCCAGATTCAGGCATTCAATCCGATCTTCGTGGTGCTAAACC